GACATCTTTCCTCCATTTATCACAGCGTAGCTTATTGCTGGATTTGTGACAGTTTTTGTTTTTCTTTATGCTGAACTGGAATCAATACTGAAATCTATCTATGGTCTTTGAGCTTCAATAAAAATTGCTTCAAGTCCTTTCTATTTTCTGCAAGTTTGTATCTGCATCATGAGTGTTGTTGAAGCATATTACTGCAAGCATGATGTCACATTCTTCTCCATATATTCACACTTCTTTGATTAATGTTTTATTTTTTAATGAATAATTTACTGTTGTTGCTAGGTGTCATCAAGTTGACTATAATTCACAGCAATCCTATGAACAAGAGATCTGAACCTTGACCTTTTCTACTGTGTCGACAAGATCTATGCCATGCTTTTGTTGTAGAAGCTGTATCAATATAACTTGTTAAAGGTCATCATCTCTTTCACTTGTTGTTGTTGTTATATGCCATCGAGTCACTTGCAACTCATAGCGACCCTATGTACAACAGCCCTAAACCCTGCTCTATCCTGTATCAATCTCATTGTCTCTGACACATCTAAACCCATTACCCCAGTCACTGAATCAATCCATTTCATCAAATGCTGTCCCTCCACCCTCCCAAGCACGATGTCCCTCTCCAAGGACTGGTCCCTCCTTGCAACATGTCCTAAGTATGTCAATGAAGTTTCAGAATCCTTGCCTCCAAAGATTTAACTCTCTCTAGGATGAACCTGTTCTTTCTCTTAGCAGTCCATGTTATATTCAATACTCTTCTCCAACACCACAGCCCAAAGGCATTAATTCTCCAGGTGATTTTCACCTGTGGCCCTCGGCCAGGTTCGAATTGTTTTCCTGTCAAACATTCTTCTAGGTGGTATAGCACTGGTCTGTGCGTTGCTGTACAGAGGTAACTCGTGGTTGCTGTGATGCTGAAGACTGTGACAGTGATGTGACAATCATGGTAATGGGTACCCATGATGGACAGTGTTGGCTGGAGCTTCCAGACTAAATCAAGCCTGGAAGCAGGAGCGGCATCTACTTCTGAAATGGCTTGCCTCTGGAAACTGTATGTACGAACAGTGCTCAGGCCGTTCATTCATAGGGTCGCTATGAGTCATCTATGACTCGACGGCATCAAACAACAACAACAACATCGTCTCTAGTCATTGTCCAGCTCTCTCATGCATAGCAAGTGATTCCAAAGACCATGGCCTGGATCAGGTGCACTTTACTCTCCAGGCTGACATCATTGTTCCTCAGTACTTTGAAGAGGTCTCTGACAGCAGACCTTCCCCAACACAATACATTTTTTAATTTCTGCCTGCTGGTGCCAAGACTCTTAATTGTAGAGCCAAGCAAACTAAAGCTGTTTGCAATTTCAACTTCTTCACCATTCGTCACAATGCTGCCAATCGGCCCAGTGGTGAGAATCTTTGTTTTCTTGATGCTGAGCTTCAATCCATATTGAAGGCTGCAGTTCATGACCTTCTGCAGCAAGAGCTTCTGGTCCTCCTCAGTTTCAGCAACCAGGGTTGTGTCATCTGTGTAAGAAATCTGGAGGACAACCAGATGGCCAACTGACTGGAATGTGTGTGCTGTTGTTAGTTGCTGTCTAGTCAAGTATGACTCATTGTGGCCCTATGAACAATAGAGTCCTCCTCACTTTCAGGCAGCAAGATTGTGTCATATGTATAATAAAAGTTATTTTTTTTTAACAGAGAGGTCTGCTTTATTTGCTTCATACAGTAGCTCACATCTGTTCTTCAGCCCACAGGCAGGGCTGGGTGAGACAGCTGTGGCCCTGGGCTGTGACGTGTACTTGGTCCCTTCTTCAGGACGCAGTCACCGCCAATAATAAAAGTTATTGATTATTTATTCCTTGATGCCACATTCTTCTTTAGAGAGTCCAGCTTCTCTAATTTTTTCAGCACAGATTAAATAGGAATGGAGAAAGGAAATCAACCCTGGTGCATGTCTTTCCTATTTTAAAACCATACAGTGTTCCCTTGTTCTGTAGGTTTTGCACGAGCATAATTAAGTGTTCTGGGATTCCCATTCTTCTCAATATTAGCCATAATTTATTATGATTCACACAGTCAAATGCCTTCACATAGTAAACAGAGCACAAATAGACATTCTCCTGGTACACAATCCTAATTTCTTAAACTTGCTTCTGTAAGGTAACCAATCTATTTGTCAAGAAAATAGCATCTCATAGTTTGCATATAACAAACACATGTGTAACAATAGCTTCAGGCAACATTCTTGCTTATTCTTGTCCATTTGAGCCCAAGGTCTTATGCTGAATTTTATTACTTAGTCTATTTCTGATTATTAGTATTGTGGTGAAAAATATACACAACAAAACACTTGCCAATTCCAGAATTTCTACATGTTGTATTGGCATACTGCATAACACATTGGGCTGCCAATGGAAAAGGTCAGGAGTTTGAATCCACTAACTGTTCTGAAGAAGGAGGATAGTCACCTCCTGTAAAGATTTACCAAGTTAAAAAACCAATGGAGTTGGAACTGACTCAATGGAAGTATCTTAATGGTTATAATTCAGTGATTATTTTCTTTATGTTGTTGTGATGGCTTTCCTTTCTAGTTGTTGGATAAAAGTTAGGTGAAGGAGAGACAAACGATGAATCTATCAACTTAATACCATTGTCTTAGTGGAAGGTGCTATTTAACATTCCTGGCTACAATTCAATTAAATCACAACAATCTAAGAAGCATAAAAACCCTAAGAGTCAATTGCAGGATCTTTTTGAGCTAAAGACAATGAAGTCCTAAAAATGTACTAGTTGTCTAACTAGCTTCTGTGGATTGAATTGTTTCCCTTCTAAACATATGTAGAAATCTTCACTTCAGAAGAGAAGTTGAACCTATGAATGAGAAATCTGTTTGAAAATGTGCAGATGTTAATAGGTTAACTTGAGGTCATACTGAAGTAGGACTTGGTTCTAACCCTATGTCACTGAGAAGATACACAGAGAGAAGGTCCAAGAAACAATTCCACGTGATGGAAAAACTGCAAAGCAAAGGAATGCCTGGAACAGTGCTGTGGATCAGATTTTCTCTCAAAGCTGCAGAAGGAAACAACATGGCTGACAATCCATTCTCAGACCTTCAGGTTCCAGAATAGTGTGAGAAAAAAATTTCCTGTTGTTTAAGCCACCTGTTTACTTTGTTATAGCAGCACACAAGGAAACACACACCAAACTCATCAAAGCAGAGTTTCTCTGCAAAATAAGTCTGTCTCTGGTAATTTTGGGACACAAGTTCCTAAATTTTGGATTTGGAGATCAGAAGCATCATTGACAATCTAAATTGCCGATCCATATGCCACAATCTAAAGCTCCTATTCTCATCTCTACTTTTATATTTTCAAGTATTTGTGTAGTTGGTGTTGTTGTAGACCGTCCAGTTGGAATTGATCTACAGCTGACTCTCCAGCAGGTTTTCAGAGGGCACAGGAGGAGATTGCCCATCTTTATCCCATGGAGTAGCTGGTGGCAACCGCATACCTTTGAGATGGCATTTCATTTCTTACCACTAAGCCATGAGAGCTGTCTAAAAGTGGAGGGACTAGGGATTAAACTCAAGACACTGCATGCTAAGCACGTGTTTTACCACTGAGCCTTACCCCCTCACATTTAGATAGGGATACATAGCATTGACAAGCTCTTCTGGTCAGAACCTGCGCTGCAATTTCAAAGACACATGATTCAAAGCCCCCAGCTGCTCCAAGGGAGAAGGATGAGCAATCTCCTCCCTGCAATTTACTGCCTCTGAAAACCCGCTGAAGAGTCAGCTATGGGTCTCTTCTGACTCAGAGGCACACAACAACGGAGGCTTAGTGGTAAGTTGTGCTGCCAATTAAAAAAGCTATGACAGACAAGTTGCTGAGTAGGAGCAAAAGTGAGCTCTGGTGGCCTAGTGATAAGAAATTGCGCTGCAAACCAGAAGGCACATAGTTTGAATCCTTTGACTACTCCTTGGGAGAAGGATGAGCGATCTCCTCCCTGCTATTTACTTACTGCCTCTGAAACCCGGTCAGCTATGGGTTGGTTGCAACTTAGTCGTACGCAACAACAATGAGCAAAAAAAAAAAAAAAAAAAAAAAAAGGGAGAGCAATATTTTAGATAGTAATTTTCAGTTGTGAGAATTTTGAAATTTCATGATCATAATAAGTCTTCCACAAAGCTGTAAACCAAAGCATTCACATAAGGTTCTGCCAAGTCACATTTGTTTTTGTTGTTATGTGCCGTCTAGTCGACTGAACCTCATAGCGACCCTATGTACAATAGCCCTAAAGCCTGCTCTATTTTGTGCCAATTTCGCGGTCTCTGACACATCTACCCCCACGTTACCCCAGTCACTGAATCAATCCATCTTCTTGAGGGTCAAGTCACATACATAAACAAAATTATTTAACTAATATATTAACAAGCAATTGCTGAAATAAGCTGTGGTTTGTTGATTTTCGTGTTTGCAATATATCACAAACACCTCTTTAGTGTTAAAGTACATTGACGTCAATGTAAAGATTACGGTGCATAGATGGATCACATCTAGAGTCAGCACGGACACCTCTGCAATGCATTTGAGTTTTGTTGACAAAGTCACTGGAATGCAAATTGCTGAGAGATGTGTGAAAGCAATAAAGAGGTAGAGTCTTAGCTCATTCATGAGCTTCTTTCACCAGCGAAAACTTCGAAAAGGACGAGGTCAAGATGGGGAAGACGGACTCAAGGGCAAAGGACAGAGAACTCTCTTCGTTGAGCCCAATAGGAAAACGATCCGCCCACTAGACGACCAATCGAAATCATGCTCTCTGCCCGCCCTCTACTTGAGCGACCTTTCCCAACTTCGCATGCCTGTTTTACGACAGTTATTCGGCTAGCTTTACGGCCCGCGCGGCTGTTTGCTGGTGTCTGGTACGGGGTGGGGGGGATTTGCAGCTGTCGATGGTGTGTGGCTTTCCGAGGTGTCTGGAGAGTGGCCACGGCCGCTGGTTGGCATGAGCCGCGGTCCCCGTGGATGCAGGACAGCCGAGCTGGAACCATGGTGAGTGCGGCCTTCCAGCCTCCTGGGCGACCTCGGCTCGGCTTCACAGAGAAGAATCTGAGCCTGGGTTTCCTAGTCCACCCCGGAGCGAGGGCATCGGAGCTTCGTGAGGCCCTTGATTCTTATTCACCCAACTCTTTGTGTTCTTACCTGCCTTTGGGCGAGAACCCTGACCATTGTCGTCCCAAGGACTAAACGTGCGAAGGCGTTGCTCCTCTTGCACTTGGTTAAGGTCCGCCGCTGCCAGGGACTTGGAGATGAGTGGAAATGCAGCACTTGTCCTTCACCCAAAAGCCCGGGAGATCCTTGCTATGCTTCTCTGTCCATTACTGGTTCCCGTTGACGTAATTTCTTTTCTCTCTGATTCCGGAACATGTTTGGGCCTTGTCCCTGTTACAAAGCTTCGTGATTCGAGAAGCGCTCAGAAAAACTACTTGGTTAAGTTCCCGTTAATAGATGAAAATGCTCCATCAGAAGCCGAAAAGACCCAACTGTAACCAATCAGTTAATCTTTCAGCACAAACCTTATTCCCACTGCTCTGGACTCAACTTTTTCTGACTTCGTTTACCCAGGGATGGAAGAGTTACATAGAGGGAAAGTCATTCCTTTCACTGTTTTAAAAGTAGCTAAATTGATTTGCTCAGTATTTCCGTAGTGAAATTGCCAGTGAACATTAAAGGATCATTGGGCAGAAGATTTTCAGAAGTTTCTTACTGCCATTGGAGTGAAACCTGCAGTGACCTGCAGTTGGGGGGATGTTAGGAAAGGGTAGTAAGTAAAGAAAATATATTTACTCTTCTTCCCTTTATTATCAGGCCAGTACAATGGTAGCAGTTGGACTGACCATTGCTGCTGCAGGATTTGCAGGTTTGTTAATGGTTTGGAAGTGGAAATGAATGAAGTAGAGGAGACGGGGGATGGGGATTTCTGTTATTTATTATTTTGCTTTTGTTTTTAGGACGTTATGTTTTGCAAGCCATGAAGCATGTGGAACCTCAAGTAAAACAAGTTTTGCAAAGTCTACCAAAATCTGTAAGATTCAGTAAAGTTTCTTGCTAACTTTTTGTCGAGGGTAAATTTCCAAGCTGTTTCTTTCCCTTGAGCCTTTTTTCTCTCAAATCAATAATTTTGAAGTTGTGGGCTTTCTAACACCACTACCCTCAAAAAAGTCCAGTTACATGACAGCTAATTATTCTGTTATCAAGTGTTAATTACCACTGTTGCTCACATAGTAACTCTGGCATTATTGCTCTTACATTCTGATCCTTCCCTCTTTGATCTGCATTACAAGCACTGGACTGTAGTACCTAAAATGATCTGTTCTTGTTGTATGACTTAATACTCCCTAACTTGATATTGGGTATGACTGAATGTGATGGTAATACCATTGTAATGATTGTAGTACCTTTGTGATCACAAGCAGGATGAATGTGACTGTGAAAGCCTGTTCTATATAGCATATATGTTAAGTATGACAGAACGGGATGATGGTAGGCTAGAGCAGATTTCTGGCAGAACAAGATCAGAGGAACTCATTACCTAATAACCTGTGTTAGTTGTTTTGAGTCATATACTAATTCCCCCAGGAGACTTATTTTTAAAAATAGTCCCATATATCAAATTTTTATTTACACCTTGGCTTGTAATTCCCAAAAGAACTAGCTTTGAATCATTGTTCCATTGTCTTACATTTTCAAAACAATTTCATTCAAAAACTTTTGGTTTTGTTGGAACCAGCTTACAGCTAGCTGACCCGACCCTCCAATGGGTTTTTGGAAACTATAAATCACTTGGAAAGAGATTGCCTGTCTTGTGTGGGGCCACTGTTGCATTTGAACTACCTCCCAGAGAAGCTTTGCTTTTGTGTTAGCAGCACAACTCCTTTGGGATTGCTGCGCAAGAGCCTAGTTTGGTTGTATTTTAAAATAATCGCCTCTGTACCACATACCTTGGGTATGCTGTCAAGAGGGGTCAGTCCTTGGAAAAGGACATCATTCTGGGAAAGGTGGAGGGTGGATCAAAAAAAGAGGAGGACCCCAGCAAGATAGATTATTGCAGTGACTATATCAGTGGACTCAAGCATGTCAGAGATGGTGATTATGATGCAGGACAGGGCAAGGTTAAGATCTATTCTTAGGGTCGCTGTGCTTCACAGTTGACTTGATGGCACCCAACACCAACCCTTGTAACGCTACAGTAGCATCGAAATTATAAAGTTCTCAGAAATTGCATGTATTTTTTTTTCCTATTCTGTAAACATTTCCAAACATTTTCTTAGCAGTTTTTCAGTTTACTTTTCTTCTTTTCAGGCCTTCAGTGGTGGTTATTACAGAGGTGGATTTGAACCCAAAATGACAAAACGGGAAGCAGCATTAATACTAGGTGTAAGGTATAATAATGCCAGGTATTTTCTATAGCTCCAGAAATAATGAATGAGGAAATGTGAGAAAGACCACTTTAATTCAAACACATTGTCGTTGAGTCATAACCAACCCTGCTGAGCCTCCTCTGGGTTCTCTGAGCCTAGAAATTGCCCATCGTTTTATTCAGGGAGACGTTGGTAATCGCCAGCAAAACATCACCTTTTCCCTATGGGTTAGGCCACATAAAAGTGATTAACTGGGGGGGGGGCGGTGCAAGAAAATTAACGCTAATTAGTTCCAGTCTCTGTCGTCTGCCCTACTTGGTCTTTCCTTCCTTGTTTATTTTAAATATATAGATAATTATTAAAAAGTCAAAAGAGAAGGCATACCTAATTCATAGCATTTACTTACTGCTAGACATCAACAGGTAAATCAGTGCTTAATATTCGCTATAAATGATGAATACAGAGTCCTACAGTTAAGTAAATTTTTAATACTTTTAAATACTTTACCTTTCTAAAGAATAGTCACTTTTGATTTAGAATTTCATCTTCTTGTATGATAGGACAGATGTGCCTGAATAGTGTTTTTAAGTGATTTCAAAATAGGCTGAATTAAACATCTTTTTTTTTTTTTTTCATAATTAGCCCTACCGCCAATAAAGGAAAAATAAGAGATGCTCATAGACGAATTATGCTCTTAAATCACCCAGACAAGGGTAAGTAGGTATCAAATTTGTTGTATGTTGTTGGAATGAGTAATTGTTAATAATGGAATACATTTTACTTAGTTCTTGGTGGTCATTAAAAGGGCATTCCAAAGACCCATCTCTGTATGTGAATATTGTCTCTAAAGCATTTGGTTATGGTGTCTGAAAGAATAGTTACTAAGTAAATGTATTGAGAATAAGCATGCATTCTCCTTTGTTTGATTAACTGCCTCTGAAAACCCACTGGAGGGTGAGTTGAGTTGGTTCCAGCTCAATGTTACCCAAGAATAACTACTACAACAATGACTGTAACACTGCACTCCAGCTCAAGTGTATCATAGAGTGTAAGGATGGAATTGAGTTCAGGTTCAGATCTGTTGTGCATACAGTCACTAGTCATCCTCAACTTGATGGCACCAAAGAACTAATTTTGATGTACTGATGAGCATGAAAAAGGTTTTAAGATCTGTGTTTCTGGTTAAGATGTGATTCACGGTATCCACAGTTGACTTACAATCATAATGGAACATTCGTTAATGAAATTAAGAGATATAATATTTCTCCCCTATATAATTCAACTCCTTTACTAAAGACTAGAGACCTAAGTGTGTCATTTATTCGTTTCTGGTAACACTTAGAAACAGCTTTACCTCTTTCCTCCTAGAAGAGAGGACTTTTATTAAGAGGGCTTGACATTTTAAACAGGCTTATAATTTTTTGAAATCTGATTTCCCAGTCTTTTATACAAACTCTAATTTGTTACCTATAGGGTTTCTGATTCAGTAAGTAATGGAAGAACCCATAAACATTTCTATGTCTACTTAGCTTCCCTGTTGGACACTTGCTGAGCTCTGTAAAAATCATTGCTATAATAGGACAGCAGATTAATAGGTTATCATTTAAAAATGACTTAGAACCAGAAAGCTGAAGGGCAAAAAAATTATTTAAAGCAAACCAGAGACTTTTTAACAATGAGCTCAGGTGCCTCTTATTTTAAAATAACATAGTACAATAAATTAATGTTTATTTGTGATTTAGAATCACCATGAACAGGTGGATTTATGCTATTTTAAAGGTACATACCATGCTCCTCAAATTACATTTTCATCAGTTTTTCATAAATCCTCATCCTCATGTGAATGACCTCATTTCACTCTCTCAGACAAACCTAGGGATACTTAAAATGTAGCATTTCACAAAGCAGAAGTTGAAAATCCCTATTGTAACTCTTCTTCCTTTTTCCTTTCTTTCTATAGGAGGATCTCCTTATATAGCAGCCAAAATCAATGAAGCTAAAGATTTACTAGAAGGTCAAGCTAAAAAATAAAGTAAATGTTGATTAACTTTGAAGTACATATGGACTTATGTATACGAGTTTTATAATAAAATGCCTCAAAGCTTTTTAAAAATGATTTAGCACTAGCTAAATCATAGCCTCACTATAATTGAGAATTTAAAATCAGATACTAGTTTTACTTTGAGATTGTTATTTATAGGTAAATGTATACCATATGAATATAGACATAGTGCCCAATTAGCAAGTACTTTGGTATCTCTGTGTATTAGGCACTCTTTCAGGTAAAGCAATCATCATTAAGTCCTATTTCTTCAGAAACCCTCACTCTACTGGGAGACTTACAGATTAGTTAACACACAGTGTGATAAATTTAATGACAGAATTAGCACAGACCATTACAATAGGGACTCAACTCATTGGACAGAAAAGCTATTGAAGGAAAGTCCAAAGAAGTACATTGGGAAAAACTATGTGTAATCTTGTTGAGTCTTAACTGACCTAAGAAATTGATCAAAATGTGTATATAGAGTCACTGAGAGAACTCAGATATTATACTTAAAAAACTTTAATAGTATGCCCAAAAAAGAACTTTTCATCAAGTATATGCATTGTATTCAGCTAGCCCCTTAAATATTCTGACCATTTATATATTCCTTCAGATATAATAATATTCTGCAAATATCATTAACTTAATCTCACCTATCCATTGTTTCTTACATTTTATATCTACAATAGTGGTTTATTTCCTGCTTTGAATGTTTGATGTACATCTGATAGTAATAGCAAGTATGAGGCAGTGTAAAGGATATATACGAACTTACTGAGCTGTGATTGATTCTCAGTGGTCTGGCAATTACAGGATGATGTCGTCCTGTTGTGATCTGATGTTACCTTTTTTTTTTTTGAACCTTCCTTTTTTTACATAACATGGATTTTCTGATTAACTACACAGGATTCTTGTCACTAACTGGGGAGTGGGTATATTAACAAAACTGGAAAATGAAATGCTTAGTATAACAATAGTGCAGACTCTTAAAAGGGAAATAACATGCTATGTCAAGGAGTTTAGCTAGAAAAACAAAGTTATATCCACTGTCATGAAGTCATTTCAGTTCAGTGACTGGGACAAAGTAGGCTAGACACAGATTGCCTCATCTTATTCACATACTCTGAGCATGTTGTTTGGTTTTTGTTTGTTCTGTACCATGCAGTCGGAACTGACTCATAACTGACCTTCTGGCAGGTTTTCATAAGCAGTTAAATCATGAGAAATTGTCTTGCTCCTGCAAAGCATTTGGTGGATTTAACTGCATACCTTCAAGACTGCAGCAGTGGGTTTAAGAATGTAAGAGATGATTAAAATGGCACAGGACAAAGTTGAAAACTGTTGTTCATAAGGTTGCCCTAAGTTGTATTTGACAGCACCTAACCACCACCTTTTGGTTATAACCAAGCATATAAGGGAGTTCTGGTTGCTTAGTGACAAGGAATCACACTGCCAAAACAAAGGTACATGGGTTCGCATCCACTAGCTGCTCTGTAGGAGAAAGATGGGATAGTCAATCCTGTCATACAACTTAATGTCTCTGAAATCTGGACGGTCAGCTTTGAGTTGGTTCCAATTCAATGGTACACAACAACCTAATCTAAGGTGTTTGGAATTTTATGTAAAAGTTCTCAATTATTAATGGAGAACACATAGAATTTTAAATATAGAAGAAATAGTTGTATCTGGTACTGAGATGTAGTAAGAGGTGTGTATGGGTGGTTGTGTGCCATCCACTCAGCATCAACCTACTGTTGATCCTCAAGTGGGTTTTCAGAGGCTGTAGGAGACTGCCTGTCTTCCTCCCACAGATAAAGTGGTGGATTCAGACTCCTTGCCTTTGGGTTGGCAGCGCAATTCCTTACCATTGGGCCATCAGAATCCTCTACAGTATGGATTATTTAGTGGTGTGCTTTAATGTCATGTTCCTAGGAGTAAAATCTGATCAGGTCTAATCCAATTTAGAGTATGATGAAGTACCAACTCTTAATACAGCCACAAGTTTTGTTTTTCATTAGAGAATTAAAAAAAAAAAAGGTATACAATACCTTTAAGTAACGTGTGCATGTTTATTGCATGCTGCTCAAATTCACCAGTGACTTTCCAAGAAATGGATGGAAGGTCCCTAACTCCTATCTCCTCTTTATGATTTACAGCCTCAGAAACCCTCTACAGCAGTGGTCTGAGTTAGTGAAATCCATTTTAATACTAACATAGAACACATTTGTTTTTCCATTTAGGCTTACCTTTTTCGTGTAGAACACATAATCCCTATTCCACTGAGTTTTATCCTTTTTCTTTGGAAAAAAATTCAAAGGGTTCTCAATAACATTTAACAACTACAACATATACTGAGGGAGTAGATGCTACTAGTATGATCTGAAAGCCTTCATCCTTTAATGGTGGGTCTGTTAACACGACTTGATCTGTAATACTTGGTAGGTAAATTGTGCAAGCACTCAGTGCTAAGCCTTTTCCTTGACCTACACAAATGTATTTGTTATACACATTTTATAAAGGAAGAAACTTCTAAATTTAACAAGGCTGCATGCTGAAAGGGTAGGTCAAGAATGATCTGTAACCTGTATCCACTCTAGTTCGTCACTTTTGCCATCTGTACTGCGTTCCTTTCAGATTTCTGACAACCTAAAGGTGTTCTTGATTATGCTGAGATCTGGTGCATGTCTCTATATACCTAGTATGGACATCCCAACACCCCACCCCCCAAAATCAAATGCTTCTAGGTATTAAAAGGACAAATTTTTAAAATTGCCACAGGAGGTTCATGCAAAGCTATAAAACCACCACCAGAGAATTTACTGGTCTCAGTTTCGTAATTGTGGTATCTTCCATATTTTATTGAAGAACAAACTAAAGGGCATATTGAATGATTTCCAACATCATAAAGCTAGAAAAACCAGAACTCTGTTACATTTAGGGGTGTTCCTATTTACTGCTACTGAGCTGTCACTTGGCTCTTCATCCTTTGTATTCATTGGGGCTTTCTCTTGACATTAGCTGAATCCTAAGCTTGCAGTGTAAAAACCTAGCTTTGCTGGTGAAGCACAATGGGCCATAATGAGTTCCTGTGAGTTAAATGTCATCCTTTTTAAGTGTTTTAAGCAAATGCTCTGGTTTTCAAACATTTTTCAAATGTGGAGTTTACCTAAAGAAACATTTACACAGGCATAAAGTACCCCATGCAACCCAGCCCTTGGGAGATTCTTAAAGGCAATTCTTTAAGATCATTCCAGATTTGAAAACTGTATTTTAATCCCTCATACGTTCCCCCCCCCCATAAAAAAGGTTTTATACCTTCCTTCAAAAATATTTAAAACTAAAATCCACTCAGGCAGAATAGTGTCTTAAAAATTAGTTAAGTTCCCAAAATCTCTGTAGATGTTCATTGAAATGAAAAATAACCTAAATTTAAAAAAAATAAAAAAAGGTTAGAGAATGAACACACACACAAAAAAACTACTTAAGTTGTAAATGTTAACATTTATGCTAAAACAGTACATTGCTTTAACGTACCAAGATAACTTTCTATTGACAGTGAATTAAAAGTTGATTGTTAAGAAAGTAAAAAATGTAGAGCTTGACGTTAAAAAACTTCAAGTCATTATGGTAGGAAAAAACCTGCTGCCAGCAAAGTAAAGATATTTAGAATGCTATGTCTTTTTTATTAATGAAAGAAAACTGAGTAACCTAGAGTACCAGTAGGTCTCCTTAAACATCCAGAATCCAGTATATATCTTCTTAGAGCCAACTGTTGCCTTAGTTAACTACAGTATGGGGGAAAGACCTATATGGTTACTGATTCTTCTAAAGCAGTAACCCTAGGGTATTATCTCTAACCTGTTCGCATTAGAACAATCAAGTGTTCTGGGATTCCCATTCTTCTCAGAGTCAGCCACAGTTTGTTATGATCTACACAGTCAAATGCCTTTGCATAGTCAATGAAACACAG